ACACCTATTACACACTTTTACTTGTCCCAAATTCTAATGCAAAATCTAAATAAAACAATTTTTTCGCGTGTTTTACATATGCATAATTGATGTTCAGAATACTCACCTTGAAGCACTAAAAGAGATCTATGAATTTTCTAGCCTATTAAAGCCACCATGGTCACAGTACTTATCTTTGGCATTTATTGATTCCTCAAAGTCAGGGACCCATCACAACTTCCACTGAATCAGAATATTCATTCAATTAATTCAGTCACCTGAGAGTAACTACGAGCCTACTAAGGTTTCCTCTTTTTTTTTTAATTTTTATTTATATATTCACATGTGCATACAACGCTTGAGTCAGGTTTCCTCTTTAATGCGGCAGAGCACGATCTGAAGAATGGTAGCATCACTCTAGTGACCATGTGCAGAATGAGCCATTGATATTTACTGGAGAAAAATCACCCCGAATACTGTTTCTGATGAAGTTTTTTGATTTGAAGTGTTAACAATAAATTCCTGTTTCTAGTAGGGAAAAAGTTTGAGTGGCCCTATTTTCTTTTTGAAAATATTAGAAGATTAATAGACAATTTGAAAGAGGTTATAAGAACGTGTGGTCAGCAAGTGAGAAACCATGGCCCAATGAATAGAGTTTGATGAATGTCATTTCTGCTGGAGGGTACAGTGCAATTATTGTAATGAGGCACTCTATTGAGTAAGTTTCCTCATAAAATAGAGTAATTGGAAATAAGCCATTACTTGAATTTACATAGGTTGAAAGTGGTACCTCATTTGACTATTTTTGAATTTTTCATGCACTCATGAACTGAAACTTAATATCAAAGTGCATATGACAGATCATGTGTGTGGTAAGAGATTTGTATAAAATAAATTTTTTATGGAATTGACATAAGCTTGGAAAGAGAGAATTTTAAAAGGTTATTAATGTAGATGGCAGCAAGATTAAAATAGTCAGATTAAGATGTATATAAAGGTGAATTCCATTGCAATGTCACGTCATGAGGCTTTGAAATGTGTCTTAGAATGTGAGTTTTGTGGAAAGGGAGTTTTAGATGATGGGTCAAGACTTTTTATGCTAAGTTATTTCAACAATTACAAATTCTGAAACCCATGAAAAAACAGCAGGCATAAGAGTTAAAATGTGCACATAAATATGAATGCACCCTCCCCCCCAAACTTTCACTCTTCCTCTGGGCTCCAGGACAACCAGTGCCTCTGAATCCTGCTCTGTGAAATATCTTTCTGTTTTTCTGTGAATTCCACTAGACTACAATTTCCACATGATTGACATGGTGTATTCTTCACCTCCTCAACTTTCCAATATTGTTTACCACTGCACATTGTTAGTGCTTGAAATATATTTGGAGAATAAATTCATACCACAATGTTAAAAAGTTGCTTTTTTCTTTATTGGGGTTTGAACTTAGGGCTTCACACTTATAAGGTAGGTATTCTACCACTTAAACCATGCCTCCAGTCCTACTTTTAATTTTTTTTTTTTTTGCAGTACTTGGGGCTTGAACTCAGGGCCTCATACTTGCTCGGCAGGTGCTCTACCACTTGTGCCACTCTGACAATCCTTAATCTTTACTCACTTTTTCTGGTCTACATTAATCCTTGAAATAACAAGTGTGAATGGGAGTAAAAATTATGAAGGAGGACTTCTCATTTTGAAAGGAGATGAATCACCTGACAGGTAGGAAACTCCTACAAAACTGGAAAGTCAGTACTTGGAAACTTCATTGACTTGACCTTGCTTTTGGGTTATAATGCATTTTTTTGCACTTGATCAGTGCTTTAGTCACTAAAGCAATAGCTGGCATCACTGCAGAGTTGTTCAAATCTCCAACACCTCACACACGAGCTAGACTAATATAATTAGTCTTGCAAAGGATGAGGACAAAGCAGTATCTTTAATTGACAAAGATTTAGGTATGCTTATTGTATGGTGTTTGCTGATAAGAACCTATAAATATATGTTGGTTAGATTTTGAGAGTAGCAGTAAAAGGCAAAATGGTTTTACATTTATAGCTCATGTAAACAAAGAGACAAACTCTGCAGAGACAAAAGAGATGAGTGCATTTATGACTCTAGAAAAGCCATCAGATGTCATGCATGCTGCTCTTCGAGAACTTAGCATCCATGGAATTCTGGAAGTACAAGGAGGTGGTCCTTGGACCCTGTTTATTGCATTTAAACTTCAGGTAAAAAGAAATAACATGACCTGCAACAACTGTGAGCCAAGACCTGCCCAGAACTTAAAGAAAGGTGAAATCTCTAAGCAAAACTGTTCTTGAAAGAGGAAAGAGTTTAAAAGAAGAGAAATGTATATGTCAGAGGGGTTTTAGCAGTGGTCTCAGTTCCTTGATACATGTTTCGGAGATGGTAGGGAAACTGCTTGATTTAAATCTTTCCTCATGAGCTATAAAAAAATTTCCCCTCAGTGAACATACACATAAGAAATATAACAGAGGACATATATTCCAAACTAAAAAGTACTTTCACAATTAAATATTCCACACAAACGGTCACTGGCACGGAATTCCCACTCTCATTTGTTGAAGGAAATGAAATGTTTCTTCTGCACCCAGCACACTGTTTGCACAGTGGCCCTCACCCAGTGACTGTTGACTGAAACCAGTGAGCACGCTAACACAGCTGTATCTTATTTCAAGATCAACAATTTATTGCAAAGACCAATAAGGAAGAAAAACTGTTTTGATCTTATATTGTATGTCTTTTTATTTCCTCTCCATTATTGTGACTAAGTGGGCAGTTACCTGCTAAAGCAGTTTTAGGCTAAGGAGAGAAGCACCAGTGTGATGGATGCCAGCTTTTCCCTTTGAGACCACACTACCTCATGTCTTTGAGATACAGCACAGTTAGGGGGGGAACACCCTATAGATTTCCTCCTTTCCTCCTGGAGATGTATCTTGAATGGTTCCGCGGGACTGTTAACCTATTATTTTAGATAATTCTTTCAGAAGATTGAAAATGCTAAAAAAGAAAACAGTCTGCTCCCTCTCTAGGCTTCTTTCTTTCTTTTTGTGAGTGAGTAAATGCGCAATCTGGAAATTATAGATCAGGCTGAGAAACCTGCTATGTGTAGACACTGAAAGAAGTCACCAAGCCTAATGACATACAAGATTACCAAAATGCTACATGGCAATCAGCAAGACTTGGTGAAGAGTAAAACCTACAGAACAATTTAATTCGCTTCTTGTGAGTCTAAGACACAGGGTAGACAAAGGGGGCAGCAACTGAAATACCTACAAAAGTCAAACTAAAAAAATCAGGCCCTGCACAATATAAGAAGTAAAATCAGCAATTAACACATTGTGCTTAACTAGACTGTTACCTCTGAAGGTGAAATTCAGTTAAGTAAAAGTCATTGATCTTGTCTGAGGACTGTAAGCCTGCTTGCTGAGCCTGATATCAAGGTGTGGTTTTCTAACAGTCACCTTTCCCGTGTAGCATGGGAAGCTAGGTGTGATGCTAGGTATTTAACACATTGTCTTAATAACTCTCATAAGAGAGCTTAAAATGAGAACGAACTCTGCTTTACAGGTGAGGCTGTCTTAACCCTGCTTCTCTCTCACAGGTAGGTCAAGCACATTCTGCCTCTCCACAGAGCCCTCTGCCTGAGTCCTGTCTTTCCTCTCTTGTCCCTCAACCTTCCTCCTCCTGTAAGGAAGACCAGGGGTTCCTGTCTCATGGCTCCTGTAATACGTTTTACTTTAATTTGTTTATGTTTGTCTTTCTGCATTAGACTATCAACTTCTAGGCAGGCACTCTACCACTTGAGCCATGCCCTCAGCTAGACTATCAACTTCTAAAGGCCACAGTTCACATCTTGCTCCTTGAATTCCCACAGCCCAGAAAAGTGACAGATAAATAGCAGATGCTTTATATGTGTTTGTTGAGTGACTGAATGAACACTGAACACTTAGGGAAATGACAAGGGAAACAGAATATAGTTATTAAACATTTATAATTTTCTTCTTTATCTTGTATATGAGTTAGCTATTAATTTTGAAGATTTGTTAAGGAATTTGTTATATGCTTAGCAGAAAGGAAGCTGACAAGGGGATGGGAAGATATTGTCCTGTTATTCACTGTTTTGTATCATATGGGGTTTCAAACCATGCTAATTAAGAGAATCAGATGTTTTTTCAAATTGTCATGATTCATCTCTTACAAACTATTATTGTTCTTTCATTTTCTAACTGATTATACTATCGAACGGATACTGATTATGTGGTTAAATTAATAGAAAATACATATGCACATACACACGTATATAAGAAGGTGTGTGTATGTGTCTTATCTGCATGCTTACTTGTTGCACTTAAGCAATACATTTTATGTCTTAGGTAATTTTTAAAAGTGAAGAAATGGGAAACTACATTTATTTAAAATTGTTAACTTAATTTGCTTTATATGCATGTGTTCCTTACTGACACTTTACTGTGGAATTGGGGAAAGATTTTCTACCCCTCTGTCCACTGATTAAAAAAAACCAAGAAAAACAGAACACGAATACGATGACGTACCTAGAGATAATTCCTGTCACTGAGTACCCAATAAATGCCATTGTTGGTGGAGTCTAAAGGCACCTGCTCTGGGTTTTCTCCCAGCTGTACCAATACTGCAAAGTCCAGGCTCTTGCACAGACCAGCAGACAGGTCATCGTTAACCTGGACGAACCCTGGGGACCCGAGCCCTTCCTGCTGCACAGGGGAAAATGCAGGTTTGAGGATGTGATGAAGGATTCAGTCACACGAAAGCCGCATGGCACAGCTCAAAAGCTGATGTGCAGAAATGAGGGACTTCAATTCACAAACTTAAAATGTTAGGAATAATATTTCTTGTACAATTCAAACAGTTTTCCTTATTACTTTCTTGAGACATTCTCCAGGACCCTAAGTAGCTCTGTGGTTAATTTCTTTAACACATGCTTTGAAAAAGTTTGGTCATTTGAGACAGTGGTTCTTACTTTTTGATCAATGTATTTGTTGTCTTCGATGGCTGACCTTTTGGAGTGATCACACGATGAGGAAGAGGCTGAAGGGAGAATTCTGAAGAGGCAGCAAGTGTCCTGTTGCTGGCGATCAATAAACTGCTTCATAAAACTCTCCCTTTGCAAATGAAGTATACACATGGAGCATCATTAATGACAGGGAACAGGTAGTGGCATTTTATAATGCCGTACCAAAAAGATCACAGAACACAAGACAAGTCATATTAAGAGTGGTGCTTGGATTTAATTACCAAAATATGCAATTTAGTGAAAGCCTCCTGAATCCTCACAGGCTCTTGTTGAAAAAAAAAAAAAATGTCCCTGACCTAACCTTAAAGCAAGGGCTCATCAATAATTAATGGCATTTTCTTACTCCAACTGTGGTAATAAGATACTTTATCTTTCTTCTATGATTTGAAGGAATTAATTCGTCTCTCTAAACTTCCATTTATCATAAAAATCTTTGAGAAGTAATGTTACAATTAAAGGCTCAAAAAAACCTGACTCCAAAACACAGTGAGAATTCAAATAGCATCTCTTCAAATAACCCAATTCAATTAATTTTGTTTTTTAATCAAAATGCAGTCAGGTGCTGTGTAAAGGTGTTTTGAAGCAGAACGCACTGTGTGTTGATGGTGGTCCTATAAAGTTGTGTCACCTCGCCACAGTATGGCATCGTAGTGTGCATAAATACACTCTCCGCCTTTCACACAATGGTGACACCATCCAGTGACATGCTTCCCAGGTCATATACCAGTCATCAAGTGACATGCATCTGTATTTCTCTATTAGAATGCAGAGTGTTACGGAACCACATCCAGTCTCCTACTTTCCATAATCCCTCACTACAATATTTTAAAAGTAGTTAAGTAGAATATCTCATATTATTCAGGCTGTATCTGTAACCTTTTGAGCTGCCACTTGAAGACTATCCTTTTATTAAAAATAGGGGTTTTAAAGCATCTTCTATGCATTTGTCTAACCAGAGGGCAAAAGTGGTAGGAAATCAAATTAGTACTAGTGTCAAGTGCCCTATCTTTTTAAAAAGTGGGAGGAAAATTATATTGTGACCAGACATGTCAGCCTAACCAAGTGCAGTGGCAGTGCAGGAACCTGCCAGGTAGCGATTTCTGTATTTGCTTGAAAGCAGAGGACTGTGGGGAGATTTTATCCTTACATGGTGGGTCCAGGAGCTGACCTCCATCTCCACTGTCCACACTGGGCACCTTCTCCACTCATGGGAGAGACCCCTGAGAAGCCTCCCAGACACAAGCAGGTGAAGCAGCTTCTTCCCTGAGCCCAGGGCCAAAGATTTTGGAAACAAAGCAAGGAGTAGAAATATAGGTAACGACTTTGAAAAAAAAAGTCTAGCCACAGATGGGTTTGAAAGAAGGGCTGAAGCAGACTTAAAATGACTCTTTTGTCATGGAATTGAGATATACAATTAAAGAAGTACCTGATTTTAGGAACTGTAAAATCAGAAGGAAGTTTTGAGATTTTCACCATTTGTGGTCTGTTGGGAAATTTTTCAAAGATTCGCAGGCGCAAAGGAAGCTTTTCTTTGGTGTCTGCATTTGCTTCACTTTGTTTCAACTAAAGAAAAAAATAGAAGAAAAAAAGGAAGGAACCTATATTGCAAGTTACAGAAAACCAGCTTTAGAGTTGAGATAACAATGAGCAATTACAGGAAGAGCCAGTAGATGGCAGCAAAGGCCCATCAGCCATAGCACACACACAGTATTGCAGTAGACTGCTGTCCTTACACTAAAACTGAGTTCACAGAAATGAAACCAAAACTTAACAACAAAACTAAACCAGAAAAAATGTAAAGGTAAAACTTTATGTCATTTTAGTTCCAAATGTAAGCCTCTTCTCAGTCCATACATTATTTTAAAAAGATTTTTTACTTATCACTACTCATGTAAACAATAAAATTTGTTTTTCACGTATAAATGCTACAATAAGAAACAAAAGAGGAAAAGTAAATGAAAATATGAGCTACATAGTCATGCTGACATGGCGATATTTGAAAAGAGAGAAAATGTCAAGAAAATTGGAAGCAGTCTGGCAGATTAAAAAAAGAAAAGCTTAAAACAAAAACAATATATTTGATCAATAAAACAAGTGTTTTCCATTTGTCTGTAAAGATGCTGTAGTTATAAAGCTGTAAAATATCTTTGTGAGAAATAGCAAGCAAATGTATTTACTCATGTGTGCAGTTATTGTGTAAGAGTATATGTTTTCTATTTCTACACATTGCAGCTCAGGGAAGCCAAGGTTTAACATTACCAGCTGGAGCCAATGCTGAACTAAGGAGAATCTGAGGATTGATTGTGGCTGGCAGAATTCCTTCTACACCTTCCTGCCTTCCAAGTCTGAATTTTCTTGTGGGCCCCACTGACATCCATTTACCCCTTCTTGAGGACTTCTCTGCAACCTGGATTTTACTTTTCTATGTTGGCCCTGTGTTCTGCCCTGGCTGTCCAAACTGCATCTTGTAACACTGGTCCTGTTCAAAGAGTGCATTTAGTTCACACTTTGAGAGATAAGGGAGGCAATAAAATCCATTCCTCCTTGTGGAATATGCTTTTACTTTAAAATTATTATTTGTCTTGGGCTTCTGGGGGTTAAGGGAGCTTTGATAACAAGAAGAGAGAGGTAAATCTTCCCTGCTAACCTGTATGTGGAGGTAAGAACTGCCCAGAGGAACCAGAAGTGCTGCATTTTGGAGGGAGACCCAAATTCTAATATGATAGCTGGCTCATCTGGTTGTGAGCTGGTTATGAACTTATGCGTCCTGAGTTCTGGTTTTCTCGTTTTGCTTCAGAAATTGCTCCTCCATTTTTGTCATGTAACATACACATTTTACCTGAGCCATGTGTGCATCTTATTTGATGTGGCGCGTGTGTAGCTTTTGCTTTTGGGTCTTAAATGGTAATTTCATTTAGGGAAGGGGCCAGTGCCGTTTGCTTCCTCCTCCTGCCCCAAGTGGAATACTCAGCATGGTAATGTCATGGTTTTGATGCAGATGATGGTAAGGGCACACAAAAAAATTCTACTTGCTTCTCCATGAAATGGGGCAGTCAAAAAACTGGTGCCGTGCATCACTGAAGACTTCTGAGAGAGTTGTATTCTAAAAGGTCATTGACACAACTGGTGAAACAAACATTGCTAATGGGCAAGTAGAGCACACAGTGAAAAAAAAAAAAAAGCAGCTTACTCATTACGGCAGCAAAGCCATCAGTTATGTGGGGCCAGAGACAGGCTGACAGATAGATTGGGACGAAGGTATTTGCTAATTCACCCATTTGCTGACTCATTTGTTTATATACCGATGTGGTCATTTCTGAAACCAATCCCAAAGACCAGGTTCCCTGCTAAGTTCTGGGACATAAAAATAAACAAGCCTTCCTTAAGTCCAAATTACAATCAGAAAGATAGTTTTATAAACAGACAATGACAACACAATACAATGCTTTCCCTGGAGGAGATATGAACCCAGTGCCTGGGAACAAATGTTAAAAAGCAAAGGGAAGAAAGAAGAACAAAAAGATCCAGGTGCTTTGTCTTTGACTTCAATGGACTTTGGGGGCAGCATGCAAGGTAACCCTGAGGCTCAAGATGTACCAGGACTGAATTATGCATATTCACTGTCATATTAGTTAGGATTTGTCATCAAAATGAAAAGATGGAGCTGCATGAGTGGTATGTGCCTATAATTAATTCCAGCACCAGGAAGGCTGAGGCAGGAGAATCACAAGTTTGAGATCAGCCTGGGCTACCATGACTCAGACAAGGACAACAACAACAACAACAAAACAGTAACAACAATTCTTTCCTGAAACCTTCTTGGCAGTCCACCCTCTGTCCTCATTAGCACCAACCTGGTCCCCTCTTACCCCCGTTTTGGCTCTTTCTCGTCTGTTCTTCATTCTGTGGTTACAGAAATCTCCCTTTTGTACTTCAACCTTTCAATGGTATTCCACTACTAAAATCTGTAAATGCTTAACCTGGGCTTTGAGGTCCACTTTTGCTCTGCCCCACCTGTGTACACTCAGCTTGTCCTATGTGTAATCAAATTTTCTTCCTTCAGATTCTCAAACAGAAACTGTCCCAAGCCCTTTGTGCCTGTGGTGCCCAATGCTGCCCCCTCCTTCCTCTTTCTGTCTCAAGCTTCATTAACTTCTGCTTGTCCTCCAGACTTTAGTTCCCTTTATAATTCCAAAAGAACGTTTTTCTGACCAATGTGATCTCTTATGAGACCACAGCATTTAGACTGGGTCACAGCAGGTTGCTGTTTGTGTTGGTCAAAGCCGACAAAAAATCTGCAGTTTCTTCTGGTTCAACCTAACACAGGGTGTGTCAGTTTCCTAGGACTGCTGTACCCAGTTACTACAAGCCCTGCAGCTTAATGCAACAGACACTGCCAATGTTAGCATTTGGGAAGGTCACAATCAGAAATCAAGGTTTTGGCTGGGCCTGGCTCCCTCTGAAGGCTCCAGGAAAGAAGCCCTCATCTCCTCCCAGTTGCTGGTGGTTCTCAGTTGCCCTTGGTGCTCTTTGGCTTGTGACCAACTTACTCCAATTCTGCCTCCAGTGTCATATGCCTTCTTCCCTGTGGGCCTCTCTGTCTCTGTTTCTGACTCTCCCTCTCCTTTCTCTGATGGAGACTCCAAACATCGGAAGGTGCCACTCTCCTCCAGAATGATTAACTTAACCATTCATTTCTTCAAAAGCCCAATTTCCAAATGAAGTCTTATTCCGAGTTTCAAATCAGACATGAATTTTGGAGAGAAACTATTAAAACCACTGCACACCCCAGTGCCATCATTTTAAATGATATTGTGCTGCGTTTGAACCATGGAGCTCTTTCCTGAGCCTGTAAACCTTATGTGCTCAGGGACCATGCAGGGTTTTCCTCACTCTTCCATATCTAGTGCCCAGCACAGTAGTCTACACAGTCAGCTATGCAAATAGATAACTGCGCTAATCAAGTAGCAGAACAAACTCGCAGCAAATGACTGGGAAGTAAACAACAGGCTTCTGGGCCAATTCTGAAGGGCAACAGAGAAGCATACAGTGCCTGTGTTGACTGAATACATTTGCTGGTGTGGAGCACAGGTGCCCTATGCTCATAGACTGGAATAAAATTGACTCTTGTGGCATTGAACCTGAACTGACGTTTGTCACAGACAAGCTCATGCATAAGTTTAGCCCAAGTTCGACTTACGTCCATAGTTTTATAAAGGAACAACCTGGGGAGATGACAAGCTATAATTAATCAAATATTCTAGACTTTAGTGCATAACATATAGATCACTAGCATTAAAAACAATATCGCTAAAAAAAAATACTGCTTACATGAGATCCATTTTGGATCTCATGCCATCTAACTTGCACTAGAGATATTTGTACTTTCAGAGCTTGTAATCTCCTTATGGGCAAGATTCCATTTTTAAGTTTCCTTTTATAGCGCCTTCTAGAAAGTAGAGATAGGCTAAGTGGAAGTGAATTGAGCTCAGCATGAGTTGGCCGTTGTACCATAAAACTACGTAGAGCCAGGGGGAAGATCTTTTTGATGACTCTGAAAGTTCTTCACCATTGTGCAAATCTTCTCAAATACTGGGCCTTGTGGCTGAAGGGTTATGCAGTTAAACGAGAGCAAGATGAATAGGGGCTTTAATTGTTGGCACTCAGCTCTCATAGTTGGGGTAGGTGAACTGCTTCCTACAAGAATGAAAGGTCCTCATTCTGAGTAGCAGTGACCATGTGCTTTTTCTGTTCTCAGTAGATAAACAGCACTAAGGATGAGTGCACACACATCCGGGCCCTTGCCAGTCATCCCTACGTGTACACCAGCCAGAACAGTGTGCACGATCACAGCACAGCAACATCACCCTCTCAGGATCACAAACACAAACCACTCAAATACCCATCATCGGTAGAATGGAAAAATAAATTGTGTTTTATTTAAACATCGAATGAGTGAGCTATATCCTAACACAAGAAGGTGGTTGAATTTTTCAATGCAACGTTGAGGGAAGGAAGCCAGACACTGTAAAAAGTATATACTGGGTGATTCCATCACCTAAGTTCAGTAAGCTGTCACTGCTGGTGTTTGTTACTGTCAGCATGGCGACTGTCCTGGGTGAGGGCAGAGGACTGTCCTGGTTAGGAAGGGAAGGGTGTGAGGGCAGGGGTTTGTAAGGTACAGTAGCTACTTCTCGACCTGTTGAGTTTGTAAAAAGTCAGTAAAATGCCTCTTTTTATATGCCTATCCTAGTTCAGGGAAAAGCTAAAAAGAAAAGGGGCGAGTGGCACAGTAGGGCAAACTCTGCGCTTTTACTTCAACACAGTCAATTACCAGGCCCAACCCTGACCCTTTTTCCTTCCCTGGTCCATGAGCCTGACTAAGACACAAATAGGGAGAAAGGAAAAAAGAGCAACTTGGGAGTAGGCTGTACGTGTGGAGGGGAGAAGAAGCATGGGGTAACCAATAAATAAAAGTATTTCATGGTGCTTTGAAGTCATGTAAGTTTCTTTGCAATAAATGGCAGCCTATCTTTTACTCAAATTCTTTCTCTTTCCTACAT